AGGGAATATGATTCCCAGTTGGGAGAAGGTAGGAAATTTTTGAAATTCGCCCCACCCATTCCGCAACCTTTATGGCGTCCATTAGATGGATCCTACCATTCTTTCATCTAGTCACTACGGGGCTCCTCATCCTTGTTAGTGGCTTCTGCAGTAAGATCTGTCTCCATATGGCTCTCACCAACACCGATCTCCCCACCCTCATCAAGTAGGTCGCCGTCACTTTCTGCTTCGAAGTCCAGATCTTGAGCATCGAAGTGGTTATGACACTGAGGTCAAGTTGGGGGGGAACTCACGTCGGGTCAGCCACCTGCTAAGCTTGAAAACTTTATGGTAGCTCGCCGTCCCCACCTCGACCATCTCCTTCCAGTACTCTACCGAAGACTTCTACTCCTCGATGGCCTTAACCTTGGCCTCCTCCATTGCCTGAAGTAGTATCTCATTTCGCTCCTTCACGTGGGCCTCGAGGTTTTCCACCTCCCTCTTCAGTGTCGCCTCTCGCTTTTCAAGCTCCCTCTTCAAGGCCACCTCATGTTCTTCGAGCTCCTTCTTCTCCGACATCAGCAACGTGAGCAGCTCCTTCTTAGCCAGCGCGTCCTTCTTCAGCTAGTTATTTTCATTATGGGCTAAGTTCAGCTCGGCGTAGGCCTTGCGGGAAGACTCCTCAGCTGCGAGGGCCTGATACAAGTTCACATCGGACTGATAAGCCAAGGCGTGGATGGTGAAATTCACCTGCCAAGAGAAGAAAACAAGCGTCAGCATATAAAAATCCAAGTAGAAGACAGATCGAAGAAGACATGTCTGAAAACTTACCACCATGCAGTGAGTAGCCACTCGAGCTCCGAGCTGAGCAATCGGCAGTTCGGCCTAGCTAGCAACATCATCGGCAAACACTGCACCTTTGCTCTTGAGGAGGCCAAATTTCGGAGTCAAAATACTCCAAGCTGCGTCGTCGCTGCGGAAACTACCGGGGCAGGCTCCGAAGAGATAGCCTCCTCGGGCGCGTAGGGTGGGGAGAGCTTGCCTGATTCCTCCTCGACCAGGTTTATCACTGGAGGCTGCTCGGCGGTTGATGGCTCCTCGGGCTCTGGAACGGCAGTTGGCGGGGACTCAATGCGAGCTTGTTGGCGGGGATGTCCATGGTAGCTACAACAAAAATGAACTGTCAGAAACAGTACCGAAATAAAACAAAGGAAATACAACAAACAGTGACCTACCAAGACTCAGACCGGCCTACACGAGCTTCTCCTCGGTCACGAAGTCTTCAAACTTCAGGCCGAGCTCCACCCAAGATCGGAGTGCTTCCCTCGTCTTTAGGTCCAACCTGACACCGGGGTCCTCGATGGCTTCCCTCCAATGGGTTGGGAAATGACACCCCTCAGTGTTGCGGACCATGAAATAGTGCCTCTTCCAGGCTGGGACCTTGTTCGGGAGCTTGTGCAAGAGTTTGAAGCTAGGACAAGGTGACAGGTAATAAGTATGCCTATGCTCGGGCAGAACACATGACGAGTTATTTTTTATGGAAAGAATACAAGAAAAGATGTCGAGGTTGAGAGGAAGGTTGTAGTCGTGGAAAAGAGAAATGGTTCCTACGACGTTGCGAATGGAGTTCAGGTGCAACTGGTCTATGGTGATGTTGAACAACTTTATGATCTCGACTATGAGGGGGTGAAGTGGAAGACGAAGACCAACTGCGAGTTGTTCCTTGAAGATCACGATCTCGTCATGACCATGTTCCCAAGGGAAATTACTTAAGGGGATACTATAGACGAGGTCGTTGGGAAGTGTGTACCTGGCTACTAGGGATAGGAGCCTGTCCGCCATCATTGTTGACGGGCCAAAGTTACCTGGCAATCAACCTCGATGTGAGGTGGAAGCCAAGCTACCAGAGGCCTCTCGCTCCCCCCGACGTGAGTCCACCTCGGGAAGACCGTGGACCGCATCCTGACCCAAAGTAACCTTCTCGGTAGGACGAAGATTATGGCCTGAGCCGAGGTACCCACCTCAGCTCAAGCGGATTCACCGCTTCCGTCTAAGAGGCTATCGAAACTAAAGCTAGACATGATCGAAAGACGGAATCAAAAAAGAAAGAGCTAAGGGAGACTCACCAAAAGAAAGACCGGAGGAAGGAAGGCGACCTCGGAAAGACACCGAATTGAAGGACTCGAGCACGACCTCAGATTGCGGATTAGCGGACTTGTAGCGAAGAAAATGAGCCCCTTGCCTCCTATTTATTGTCAGTGTGTCCGAGGATCAACGGTCGAGATCACCACGATCAGACGGCTCCTAGGAAAACCGGTTGCATGACCCCCGAGGTTGAAATCGGTTTAGCGCGTGTTTTGACGTCCGCGTAGTTTATAAAACGGCGTGACGTCCGCGTGTACATTAGACGTGACCTGGGTTATTCCTAGTTAAGCCGGGCGGCCAAACAGGTCCGACCAATGATTCGCCCGTCAAGCTGCCTAGATCTCGTGCCAAATCCACCTAGACTCGTCATGAACTCCCTGCATCGGGTTGAGACCCCTGGCTCGGGGAGTGGGGGGCAATTGATGAAGGGTGATTTGGCCCGATATAATGAGAAGGAGACACGTGCACACGACCTGACTAAGGGATCACAGCTCAACCCGGCAAGCCTAATTCGCAACGTTTGAGATCGGGTACTCGGTCACCTCGGCGCAAAATCACCTCGGCGTCTGGGCACCTCGGCATTCAATCCAGTTCGGAACTAAAGAACCGAAGTATCAGCTCGGGGCTACCGACCCGAACCGCCACGTAACGACTTCGGAAGTTTCTCCAGTAGACTCCGAACCTCCCGGGATCATGCCACGTAATGGCAGGCCTAATCTTCTCCCCGCCCAGATCGGGCGGAATTGATAAACTTTATTAATTGATACATTACTCCCCAATTAAAGCGGAAACGGATCCCCTCAGGACAAAAATCCCGTAACCGATCCGCAAAACCCATGAGAGCTCAACTATATAAAGGCACCTACCCCAATGACACAAGGTACGCATGATTTTTCTACTCTCTAGCTCTCAAAGCTTTCAGCTTGCACCATAGTACACTAACTTAAGCATCGAAGTGACCTCGTCGGGTTAGCCATCCCGGGTTCTTTGATTCATTGTCTTGCAGATTCATCCAGCTCGCTGCTCGATTGGAAGCCAGATCATCCTCTGGCTAGGAGTAGTCAGATCGTGCTCCATCAATATCAGTATACCCGACCATCTGTAGTGAATTACCATCGAAAACAAGACAATAGTCTTTAATCCTTCATAGGTACCTTAGTATGCTTTTCACAATAGTGCAATGCTCTTGTCCTGGGTAAGATTGGTATCTACTTACCACATTGATGGCCTGAGCAATGTCTGGCCGGCACAACATGGCATACACGATGCTCCCTATGACTGAGGCATAGGGAACCTCTCTCATGTCCTCAATCTCCTCAGGGGTCTTAGGTGACATTCCTTGGGAGAGAGTGACTCCATGCCTGAAAGGAACGAATCCCTTCTTAGAGTTCTCCATGTTGTACCTATTAATGATCTTGTCAATGTAAGTAGATTGGGATAATCCTATTATCCTTTTTGATCTATCTCTATAGAGTCGAAGTCCCAAGACGTAAGAGACTTCTCCAAGGTCCTTAATGGAGAATTGCTACGAAAGCCATACTTTCACCGTAGTTAACATTCCTACATCATTCCCAATGTGTAGAATGTCGTCTACATATAAAATCAGAATTGTAACCTTATCTCCCGCTGGTTTTTGTAAATAAAGAGTTCATCTAGATTCTGCTCAAAATCAAATTGTTTGACTATTGAGTCAAATTGGATATTCCAACTTCTAAAAGCATGGCCTCAACTAAAAAGGTCTCAACTATTTCATCAGGGCCCTTCTCCCTCTTGTAGATCCACTTGCAACCGATTGCTTTCACCCCAAGGGGTGGGTCTACAAGAATCCAAACTCCGTTGGTTTTCATTGAATCCATCTTAACTTTCATGGCATCTACCCACTTCAAGGAGTCTATGTCCAACAGAGTTTCCATATAAGTCACGGGATCTTGATCACTATTCGTAGTTTCCACCAAAATAACTTTCTTGATCATAGGCATAATGAATTGGAGGTCTAGATACCTAGGTAGATTTTCTAAGTTGGGTATTATCTGGAACATGTGGGTTATCTCCCACTATTCTTGAGCTCTCTTTATCAAGAATAGCTTCTTGATGAAGATCGTTTAAGATATAGTCTTCTTCCAAGAAGTAGGCATTTCAATGAACAAACAATTTTTCTTCTCTTGGGTCATAGAAAAGATACCCTATAGAGCCTTTGAGATAGTCTACAAATAGGCAATGGCTGGTCTTGGATTCCAATTTGTCCACACTTGTTTTTTCAACATGTGCTTGACAACCCCATATTTTCAGTGTCTTACACTTGGTTTTTTGCCGATCCATAGCTCATAAGGAGTCTTAAGAACCGATTTGGTTGGAACCCGGTTCAACACATATATTGCAGTCTCCAATGCATGCCCCCGAAAGGATATAGGTAATTTTGAATGGATGAAGAATGATTGGATCATATCTAATAGGAGGAGACAACTGTAATATAATCCCATTGTCCTTTAAGTAGTCCCTGAATTCGTTGAAGAGATATTCACCTCGTCGATCTAATCGAAGGGTTTTGATCTATCTCCCCAACTGTTTCTTGACTTCATGTCTAAATTCTTTGAACTTTTCAAAGGATCCAGACTTATGTCTCATTAGGTATATGTAACCATACTAAGAATAATCATCGGTGAAATTTATAAAATAACAGTGTTAGTTCCATGTTTTAACATTTATGAAACCATATACATCTATTTGTATATGTTAGGTCAAGTATGTTTGTAGATCTTTCAGGCTTACTTGTAAACGGCCATTTTGTCATCTTCCCTTGGAGGTAAAGCTCACATGTTGGTAGATCTTTTACAGTGAGAAAATCTAGAGGACTATCCTTCACCAATCTTATGATACATTTTATATTTATATAACTAAGTCAGTAATGCCATAGGCACGTGGGATTAATTGTATCACGTGTTCTTTTCTTGTGGATGAGTTCCAACGTGGTTTCGGTTATATTTGTTTCTAGAGAATGATGAAAGACATAAAGACTATTTTCAAGTTCTCCATAAGTAAGAAATTTGTTAATCAATTTAATTTTAATTTTAGTACTAAATAAAATAGAATAGTCATCTTTACATAACTTAGAAACTGAAATCAAATTTCTTCTAAATAACCTTACACAACACTATACCCCCATGCATTGAGAACATTTCTTTGTGCATAATACTAGGTAGGAGAATGAGATATTTTCCATGTGTAATTACAATATTATGTGGGTATATATGGACGAAATTCTTATGGCGAGGATATTCGGACTCACACCAGTAACAATCAGAAACTTTAAGAGGTTTCAACAATTTACCCTTTTTTAAAACAACCCAGCTTTTCCTTCAACTAGTCAACTTTCGGTTTCTCTTATTCTCTTACTTCATATGGTATTATTACACAATAACCAACCTACACTGGAACCGTCCAGCATGATTGCATGAATCACTGAATGTCTTAAAACCTTGTACACAATTAATTGAACAGCCTTTAAATCATAAACAAATGCAAATTATCTGTATATACCCATCATGCATTTTGGGGGTTCTTAGATAAAAAAAAAAAAAAAAAAAATTATATGCATTTTGGGTTGACAATAGAAAACCACCTTCTATTATTCCACAACTCTCTATCCTGTACGAAGCACGTTTCATCCAACTACATTTGTGTATTTCATTTTGGCCCGCCAATTGTTCTTAAATTAAGATGTATGCATTGTGGGGTTCACAATCACAATAGAAAACCACTTTCCTATTTTTCCAAAACTCTCTCTTCTGTTTGAAGCACGTCACATCTAAACTACTTTTGTGTATTTCTTTTGACCCACGAATTATTCTCTTATCATAATAAATATTATGCGGATTAATATAGCTGTTATTTTAATTATGTTGCCCCATCCAACCAGCATGACTGTTCTATATATATTATTGGAAAGACATGACAGCCGAAGGGTTTTGAGCAATCGAAACCTCACATGAATTTTGATAAAATACCACATATTCAATATC